GAGAATTTTTGAAAAATGTCACTTTTGAAATGTCACTTTTTCAAAATAATTTACTCAATATATCATTTATGTTTGGTTTAATATATTGTATTAGGGTTTAGTTTGAGGGTTAGGGTTTGTTAGAAGTCAAAACTTTTTTTTAAGATTTAGAATTTTAAGATTTAGGATTTAAAAATCCTTAATTAATGGCATTTTTCAAAATGGACATCCCTTAATGTCATTTTAAAAATAAACACACTAAAAGTGGTATTTTGTAATTGTTTATTTAATTAATTTGTTGTTTCAAAAAAAATATTAATGTTGTTTCTCGATATGCATCCTTTTTTTTTTGGAAAAGTTCTAGTACTAACTGTAAAATATTCCTAAATGTATTTTGTTTTGTTTTCATTTTCATCATCAACATTAAGTATAGTTATCACAATTTTTAAGATTTTGAACTTATAAAAATTGATCTTGGCGTTTTCAGAATATTTCGGTTATGAAGACATTACTTTCTATTATGTTCCCTCTTCTCTATCTTTTACAAGAATAGTTTCGTCATAACTCTTTTCCATATTCTTCTTTAAAAGTTTCAAGTTCATGTAACAACATTGTCATGAACTGAAATTATTACTGATTCTAATGAAATTATTTTTATATCTTTCCTCTTCAAGTTTATTCTCAAGTACATGTTTTGGGTTCCTTTTAGATGTTTGGGGTTCTTACGAAACAATCATAAACTTATTAAAAAGTTAAGTTTATATTTAATTAGTTATTCAATTGATTTTGGTTTGTTAAAAAAATGATCTTGACACAACTACAGTTTAAATCCAGAAGATATTAATTTCTACTATGTTTTCTTCTTTGTCTTTCACAACAAGAATGGTTTCGCCATATCTCATTTCCATAAGTACATTCTTCTTTAAGAGATTCAAGCTTTTGTAACAACAATTTTATGGAGCTGAAATTATTATTGATTCTAATGGCATTATTGGTCTCTCTCTCCTCTTCAAATTCTATCTCAAGTACGTATTTTGGGTTTCTTGTAGATAGTTGGAATTCTTACGAAACAATCATAAACTTAAAGTGTTTATTTATTTTTAATTCTCTTATTCAATTAATTTTGGCTTTTTCATAATTTTGTCAAAAATTGATCTTTGCGTTTTCAGAACAACTACTTTGTTCTCTATTCTTTGTCACTCACAGCAATGATTTCGCCATAACTCCTTTTGATAAATATATTCTTTAAAACTTTCAAGGTTCTGTAACAACAGTTTTATGGAACTGAAATTTTTATTAATTTTGATGGCATTATATTGATATTTCTCTCCTCTTCAAGTTCCATCTGAAGTAAAA